GACTCCATAATGTGACATACCATCCTTCCCATCCTGGCCCCCCAGATAAAGCGTTTCCTGCCTCAGTCTAGCATTGGATATCCTCCCCCCTCCCTTCCTGAGGACTTTCTTCTCTTTGTGGATCTGAAGTCCCTGGGTGCTTGGCCACCACGCTCTCTGCCTCTCCTGGGGACCAATCGTGACAGTGCTTGGTTGAGTCCTGAACTGCCACCCTGCAACAGATGACATGTTCTTTGCTCACCATACTCCTCCCTCAAGGTCCCAGCTGTGTGTCTTTCTCCTCCCTCTCCATCCATTGCTGTACCTGGACTCCTAGGAGGGCTTCTTGGGGAAATGGGGTTCCAGAGATGTGGATGGGTCTCAGTTCCATTCAGTCACTCCGTTGTGTCTGACTCTTTACGACCCCATGATCTACAGCATGCCAGGCCTCCCTGTCCATCATCAACTCCTGGAGTCTGCCCAAACCCATATTCATTGAGTTGGTGATGCCATCCAACCATCTCATCCCCTGTTGTCCCCTTCTCCTCCTGCCCTCAGTCTCAGGAGTTGGTGATGGACAGGAAGGCCTGGCGCGCTGAGATTCATGGGGTCGTAAAGCGTTGGACATGACTCAGCGACTGAACTGAGATAGATGAGAACATTGTGACAACAAAGAACAGGGACATTAAAGCCAAAGAGACACAGTTCCAAGCCTTAGATCTGCCTTTATAAACCATGTGATCTTGGGCAAATGACCACCTCTGAGACTCAGCTTTCCTGCCTATAAAGTGGGCTCAATCACAACCCCAACTTCGTAAGGTGGTTTCATCTTATTTAATTCACACAACAGGAATAGCTGTTATCCAGTGTCAATGAATATTAGCTGCTGTCATGGTAATTATTAGCCTAAAACTTTGTTTTTCAAGCTAAACATTTCCAGTCCTCTCAGTTTTTTGCCTCATATGGCATAGTTTTGAGTACTCCTACTCTCTACACAGCCCAACCACTCTCTTCTGAAATGTTTCCATTTGTTTCTATCTTCCTACTTTCCTAAGTGTGCTGTTCTGAGCTACAGAGGGGAAGGGGGAGCTGCACTTCCTGCTCGCCATACCTTCTACTTTGGTGCCATTAGGGCGACTTGTCAATGCCTAGACCCACTCACCCCATTGTCTCAAAGAGCTCGGTTTTGACTCAAACCCTGATTCTTCACCACATGCACTGCTTGTGAACACATAGTCCCTTTCCTATGTTTAGGTATTCGGATTCCTCTGTTTTTTGTAGGGGGTGGGGGCAGGCAAGGTGTCAGGGAGTGCTTAACTTCATCATGTTTCTTCAGCTCATCTCTGCAGCTCTCTAGTTTCTGCAGGATTCTAACTCTGCAGGTCCTCATTGTTACCTCCCCATCCTCAGGTCACCTCAGATCTGATCATTGTAACTTGTTTATTTTTATACAAGTGGTTCATAAAATTCATAACAAGATCACTGTTTAACATTCAGCTCACGTTCCCCTAAGCTTTGCCTGAGGTCCAGGAGCTGCTAAAACACGGGGCTTTCGCTTCTGGCCCTCCATAGCTGCATAGCATGGACAACTCAGTTTTCTTCTCTGGGCTACAGTCGCCCCCTCTGTGAAGTGAGGAGACTGGATAAAGTGATCTCTAAGGAATCTGGAGCTCTGCTCTTCAGATTCAGTGGTTCAAAGTCTATAGGACCCAAATCACAATGATAAATGTAATTCAGGCAATCTAAGCTCTTCCCAGACACAAACCATTCACATGCAAGACAGTCTCAGAGGCTGTCTATGGTGTCAGGGAGTTGGTGCTGACCCAGGAATCCCAGGGTTAACTAAAAGCACCTGGATCCCTGGCACCTGAAAAGAGGCCCAGCTCCTTGAATGAGGAGAAAAAAAAACCAGAAAACAGTGTTTAAAGGAGAATGGGCTTGAATCAAAGGCCAGGAAGTAAAAGCAGCAGGCTGGGGTCTTTTAGAAGACAGCGAGGTCAAGAGATGGGGTGTCTGAGCCCAGCGCTGGCTGTCAAGCTGTTTATCTCTGAGTAACATCAGTATAAGCAGCAACAGCCACACACCTGCCCCTGCACCGTCTCAGGGACTCACAACAGGATGTGGTCTGACATTTACCAGGTCCTGCATCTGGGGCGCCTGTGAAAGTCCCTCCCCCTCCACCGCCACCTTCTGAGCTTCTCCAACACCACGCTCACCACATCCTGCCTCACCCTCTTCCCATGCGGCCTTTCTGCCTGGGCCTCTGGTGAGCACCCAGGCAGTGGAAATAGACCTACAGGGGAAGAGGGGAGGGCCTCTGGAGGGAGATCCAGGCACCGCTGCACGTGCAGACCCCCACACCCCCTCCCCCCACACAGCTCCCACACCTGCTGGAGGTCACGCCCCACATCAGAGGCTGCAGGGAGCATCTTGAAGACACTGAAGGAGGCAGAGCAGCTGCCATAACTGCTGGGACCCCACTAGGGTTCCTTCTGGCCCCACATCCCTCAGGCAACGCCCTCCCCCCACCCTCCACACAGAGCCTCCCACTTCCTTCCACTCATCTCAGGAGTGGGTGCTAATGACTCAGAGGAAAGGGAGCCCTAGGTCATCAACAGACTAAGAAAGGGTCGGTCCCTGGCTCTCTGCGCTGGTGTCTGCGTGCCCTAGCGACCGGGTTTCCCCTCAGCATTGTCCCTACCACGGAGGCCTTGTGCGTCTGTGTGATGGGCAAGGTCCATCCCATCTGGGCAAGAGGAGGAGGGAGAACACAGCCCAGAGAGAACAGAAAAACACACAGTCAGAAACAGCACCTCCAAGGAGAGAACGGGAAACAACCGGAAAAGTAACAGGGCAGATGTGCTTTGCAGCAACTCAAAGGGCTAGCATCCTCAGCTCAAGGCGTGTAATCCTGGACGCAACCAGGAAGTCACCCAATTTTATCTCACTAGCTTCCCAAACCAGGGCCTTCCCCAGATTCCCCAAGCGACTTAGAGCCCCCTGGTTCTCTCCCTATGAATCCCAGGAGTGGCTAAGATCCAGATGTGAAGGGAGTTCTGGCCACCAGCCCGTGACCCTGCGTCTTCCATGTGCCAGAGGCCGGGGAATGACATGTATGGAAAGAGTTGTCCGGGCACACCTACAAAGTCAGAGTCAGGGGTGCTGGAAGGTCTGCTCCAAAGAGACAGTTCCATCTCTCCAAAGAGGTGAGAGAGATTGATGAATTCCAGGCAGGAGAGTGCGTTTCTGAGTAGTAGCCTCTCTCCTGCACTGGTTTCATTTGTCTCCTGACATTAAAATGGTTGTAGATTTCTGATGCCCAGAGACTGTGGAAGAAGTTATGGGAATAGGACTCTTCTTTATGAATGGGGCAGATATCATGGCGGATAATAACTTATTCTGATGAATTTGGATGGTTTGCAGGCCTCTTCTTAACTAGCCTCCCTTTACCAATGAATGCAGTCCTATCTCTCTATTGCCCTGTGCAGTGATCCTGATTGCTTCCCCACTTTGAATATTGATGGAGATCTCCGCATTTCTATTCAAACTGACTCTCCTGCTGGGAATGTCATTTTGCTTATCTAAATACTAGCCTCTCCCCAAACTCAACCTCAAGATAAAGTTCTCTCCATTTGAAGCTTTCCAGAACTTTTCTGAATTTCTTACAGAAATAAATAATTTGTTTTAAACCTTCTACCAACTCTCCTTGAATAGTACAACTCCCCTTGAATATCAGTGAGTCCCTGGAACACCTCACTGTTAAGAAGCATTCTGGGTCTACATAAAGGCCCAACAGAAAAGATAAACATCTGAACAAGCACAGCGTAGGGTACAAGTTTCATATTTTTACTATTAAAGTATATTTAGCACTTAAAAATACTAGTAATTACTACAGAGTTTAAATTTAAAAGAGCTTTTTTAAAAAAACAAGTCTTTCCGGATTTCCCTGGTGGTCCAGTGGTTAAGACTTTGCCTTCTCATGCATGGGGTGTCAATTTCATCCCTGGTTGTGGAGCTAAGATCCAACGTGCCTCATGACCAAAAACCAAAACATAAAATAGAAGCAGTATTATAACAAACTCAGTCAAAGACTTTAAAACTCAGAGAATTAAAAAAAAAAAAGCAAGTCTTTCTTTCTTTTGGGTAAAGTGAAAGTCACTCAGTCATGTCCGACTCTTTGCAACACCATGGTCTGTATAGTCCATGGAATTCTCCAGGCTAGAATACTGGAGTAGGTAGCCAGCCTATCCCTTCTCCAGGGGATCTTCCCAACCCAGGGTTCAAACCGAGGCCTCCTGCATTACTGGTGGATTCTTTACCAGCTGAGCTATCAGGGAAGCCCTCTTTTGCGTAAGCTGTAATCCAAATATCTCGTAAACTCAGAGACAAAAATAATGTCTGTTGAAATGTAGACCCTATAATAGGGCTTCATAATATAAATGCCATCTAATTCAACACACTTAGTGATCCAATAAGAAAATTTTCACAGGAGAGGAAGATGAATTCCAGAGAGATTAGAAAATAAACACAAGGTCATAAGAGCTAGTAAATTTAAACTCAAAACTCAAAGACCTTAAAAATATAGTGACAGTGAAAGATCGGTGGTTACCAGGGTTTGCAGGGAAAGAAGAGACAATTTAGTAGACAAGCCCAGGGCATTTGTCAGGCTGTGAAACTATTCTGCATGATGGCTGATGACAGTGGTAATGGTTAATAAAAGACACAACACACTTGTCAAATACCACAGAAATGTACAATGCAAAGAGTAAGTTCTAATGTAAACCATGGACTTTAGTCAGTAGTAATATATCAATGTATCAATAATAAGTATACCACACTCATATAAATAAGATATTAACAACAGGGAAGGCTGGGGAGGAAATGGACATATATAGAACTTTATTATCTGCTCAATTTATATTAATCTAAAACTGCCCTAAATATTAAAATCTATTAACTAAACCTGTTTCAGGGAGAGATCTGTTTCTGCTTATATTCAACGATCAACTAACATCCAAACATTGGCTTAACATGCTGTTTATTGCTAAATGTGAACCAAACTTGAGTTGTAAATACACCTTTATTTTTATGGCTGTAAGCATTGCTGATTGACTTAGTAAATTTAAATTTTCACACATGGGCGGGGGGGAAAAACCAACCAAGTGCCTTGGTTTTTTTCCTGCAACTTCTATTTTTTATTCTTTTTCTTGAAGTATAGTTGATTTACAATGTTGTGTTAACTTCTGGTAACAGCAAGGAGACTCAGTTATACATGTATATATATTTATCCTTTTTCATATTCTTTTCCATTATGGTTTATTATAGAATATTGAATATAGTTCTCTGTACTGTACAGTAGGACCTTGGCATTTGTCTATTTTGTATGCAGTAGTATGTATCTGCTAATCTCAAATTGCGAGGGTCTTAACTACACCATGCTGTGACCATACCCAGCACCATCTTGAGTGTATTTCATTCCTCTTTTTAATCCCTGTGTTGGCTCTGAGTGTCCAGCACATATATCCGCTTAAAACATGGTAGACCTTAAGAACCAACAGGACCCTTGGGCATTATTCAATACTGGCTTGATTGCTTTGTGTCTCTGTCTGATTTTATTCTGCAGGTTAAATGGTACTGAAAACAAACAAATGTCTGAATTGTCCTAAATGAAATGATGCCAGGAACAGAGTATTTTAAGACTTCTTGTGCCCCCTCGTGGAACAGAAGGGACATTAGAAAAGAAAATCTTTTTAGGAATGAGGAGGAGGAGGGAGGGATGAGGGGCTGTGGGATGAGGAAGGAGGCTCAGTTGCCAAGGTAACTATGGTATCTCTTTCCAGCCATCCCCATAAGTCTTTCTTCTTCTTTATTTCCATCCAAGTAATTTCTTTCAGGGCTTTGCCTTTACACACACATGCTCTTTTTATCTGGTCTCTTGCATCTCTTTGATCACCATCTGCTTCTCTGCTCCCTCCATTGCTATAAGGAGAGGAAGGAGACACAATAGAACAGGAATTAAAAAAAAAAAATCTAAAACCCCAAACAATAATCAACGTTCCTAAGTACACATTTCTGATACTAACAAAATCACTCTCGTAGCTGCTACAATAACATCTTGCTCCTTCCCTGGCCCAAAGCCGCATCCCAGCCTCCACAAGGTGTCTATTCTCCGCAGAAACAGCAAGGACTTTTCCAGGTGATGAAAAGTTACTAATTAGGTAACCCGAGTTGGCATCCGCAGAGTTGCTCACTGGTCTCCCATCACATCACATCCCAGTGCAGTGCATGCTATTCCTCTGTCTCTCGTCAGCATAAGCACAACCTCAGCCGCCAGTGTAGACCCACAGGAATGTGGGAGAAGAGGGTGATGGGCAAGGAATAGCACACGTTCAGGGCTGAAGCATGATAGCCTAGACTAGACATCTGCACATCAGGAACTTAACTGTGTGCCTGCATATCACTGGTTCTCCACACATAAATCTTTCCCCTGCTCCCTACGAATGTGGTGGGGCTTCTCTGGTGGCTCAGTGGTGAAGAACCCACCTGCCAATGCAGGAGACGCAGGTTCAATCCCTGGCTTGGGAAGATTCCCTGGAGAAGGGAATGGCAACCCACTCCAGTATTCTTGCCTGGGAAATCCCATGGACAGAGGAGCCGGGCGGGCTGCAGTCCATGGGGTCGCAAAAGAGTCAGACACGACTGGGTGACTAAACAGGAAACAAGAACGTAGTAAAGTTCTTTTGGAGACTCTGGCTTGAGTCTGTCACCCTCACGTTGGCTGACAGTCAGAAACCCAGTGACAAACACCCTCTGCCTAGTCCCTGAGTGAGGGCTTCTGGAGGGGGTGATGACGGTGGGGTTTTTGCACAGATGTCTGCCCCACCCAGCTCAGTGTGAGACTCCAGGCGCAGAGATAGAAGCCAGAGTTATTGAGCTGCAGCTTCTTAGAACTCAGGATAAACTGGCCGTCCTGGGGCCTGGAAGCTTCGAAGTTCTGGAACTCCCTGGGATCTATGTCCTCAGCACTAACAGAGTAGAAGAGCAGCTGGAGGCTCCCCCCTGCCTCCTGCCGGTACCAGTACAGGGTGGGGTTTGACGTCCCCTTCACGGTGCACTCCAGAGAGAGCGGGCTGCCTGCAGGCTGCACCCTGGTGGGTGGCCATTGATGGATGGTCTGAGCGCTGACACCTGTGGGGAGCATAAAAGGCCACTTAGATGGAAGAAACCCATCCCAGCTCACCTTCCCATCCTGAGAGAGGGATGGTTCAAACCCCTTCCATGGCCCGGGCATACAGAAATCATCATGGGGAGTAGACTGGGAGGTTCCATGGGCAAGAAGAGGCCAAGAAAGCAAATTCCTTCCTGGAGATGGAGAAAACCAAGACACAGCACACCAGCCACTAAGACTAAATTTCCACATTCATTCCAGACCATTGAAGGCATGTACCAAATGGAGTCAAACCAAAAGCTAAGGCTCTGGATTCAGAGAGTGAGCTCTTGAGAGGAGAACCCACCCAAGAAAGTGCCCAGAAGAAGGGCCAGCAGACAGCAGGGCATAACTACAGGCAACCTTCAGTTCACAAGTGTGGTTGACACTCCTCCTCTGGGCCCAGGGGTGGCCAAGTCCCTCCCACTTGGAGATCACAGAGTACAGAGCATGTATCCCCTCAAGCTGGGGAGGAAATGAGGCTTGTCTTTTCTTAAACGTGTGATGAATCATCCATCCTCCCTGGGAAGCAGCTTTACCCTGCACTAGTTATCTTTATTGAAATCTTGCTGAAGTCCTGGTATGTAAATATATTTCATGACTCATTATTTACCTATAAACAAGAGATGACTCCCTGGGTCCCCCAGGAGACCAGTGGTCTCTGTAACCATTAGAGAAACGATGCCAACAGGATGATTAAAGGGGATTTTAGAGTCTGTCTGAAGCCAGAAGCCAGCTAGAGTACATGTCACCTGGATAGCTGAAAAGTAGATAAAAGCAGATGGAGGCTCTAGAGATTTAGGTCTTCAGGGTATTCAAAGCAAAAAAACTCAGCTCTGAGGGGAGGAAGCTCCTCTGATAGCCAATCAAGGGATCTGCATCCTCTTCATCTCCAGCAGACAAGCCTGGAGACCTGGATGGGCAGAATCAACTGCTGAATGGATTAAAGTTGGCTTCTGTGCTTCACGTGCCTCTTACAGCCTCACTAGATTGAACTATCGTCTAAGAACTGACTCATTGGAATAGACCCTGATGCTGGGAAAGATTGAAGGCAGGAGGAGAAGGGAACGACAGAAGATGAGATGGTTGGATGGCCTCACTGACTCGATGGACATGAGGTTGAGCAAACTCAGGGAGACGGTGAAGGATAGGGAAGCTTGGTGTGCTGTGCAAACTCACGTTCTTTGAGCTGGTGATGCAGTCCATGGGGTCGCAAAGAGGCGGACACGACTCAGCGACTGAACAACAGCAAGTGCAACGTGGGGTAGAGGAAAATAGAGGCCTTGGAATCAAATAGATCTGGGTTCTTAGGGACCCTCAGGAAACACTCCTCCTCAGTGCTCTCATCTGTAAAATGAAAAGGATTGTAATACGGAAAGTCCCCTACGTCCGAACCTTCAAGTTGTGAACTTTCAAACATGCGAACGTGTGTTCCATCAGCATCAGGCATGAGTGAAACTGCAGCTTGCCCTCTGTCTCCTATTGCCGATGACCCTTCAGCTCTACCATTTCCCGCCTCCCCTTCCTCCTCCGACCAGTTCACTTCCTCCTTCCTGCCTGTTCACTCAATGCCAGCCCAGGTATGCCCTACTGCACCTTTCAAGGTACTATACTGTAAGATTTAAAATGTTTGCTTTAACTATATCACCTTTCTTGTGGCTTGCTTTTTTCTTTCTACTGTTTTCATTCTTATTCTTCTGCAACGACCTTTTTGATTTCAACTTTTGAATATAGATGATTTGTTTTTTTAAAGAATAAAGTCTCAAATTTTAAGACAGTTTATTTTTTGTGTTTGTTTGTTTTTATGTATTATATGTGTGAAAAGTATTGTACACCTATTACAGTGCAGTATCATATAGCTGATTGTGTTACCTGGGTACTTAGGGTAACTTTGTTGGACTTACAGACAAATTGGACTTAACAAACATGCTCTTGGAGCAGAACTTTTTCGTATGTCAGGGACTTACTGTACCTACAAATGGTTGAAGATGCGTCTTGCTTGGAGCACTCTTACAAGTGTTGGCTGTTTGGGGAACCTCAGTGCCTTTGGTAAAGAGTGGGAGATGCACCATGGGATGGGATGGAGGGTGGGTCTGGGAGAATGACAGAGACATGAGAAGCATTGCCAAGCCACCAGTTCGTAGCAGCTAAGGATGAGAATCTGCTTGGCAGCTGGTATAACCTCATTCTATTGAGGTCCTGAGACACAGGACCCCAAGATCCCTGGAGGACAGTCAACGGGTCCCTTGGAACCTCCACTTCTCTCTGCCTTTGCCAGGCCTGTCCTCCAAAGGATTCATTTTCAAAATGATTACTTAGTTTGGGCTGGATGTGGTGGAATGGTTTAAGGTGAGTCCCTGGGAAAAGGAGCCGTGGAAGTGGCCTAACAGGGAAAATAAACCCGAAGCCAGTCAGGCATGAGTGACACTTCCCCATTTCATCAGGGTCTAGTGATACACGGGGTTCCCTGGTGGCTCAGCTGGTAAAGAATCCGCTTGCAATGCAGGAGACCTGGTTCAATCTCTGGGTTGGGAAGATGCCCTGGAGCAGGGCACGGCAACCCACTCCAGTATTCTTGCCTGGAGAATCCCAACGGACAGAGGAGCCTGGCAGGCTATAGTCCATGGGGTCGCAAAGAGTCAGAGATGACTGAATGACTAATCACAGCCCAGCACAATGATGTAGGAGATTTGCTATTGTCACTGAAGTTGCAGGAACACAATTTAAAATTAATGTTGGGGTTCTTGCTTCTAACAGAGTTACAGCCACAGCACATGTTTTTTGGTTGGCATTTGAATGCACCATATTTGTGGGAAAGTGTTTTGGCTTTTGATCTTTTCCAGATTTAATGAGTCCTTTAATGGCAACACACTCCAGTACTCTTGCCTGGAAAATCCCCTGAACTGAGAAGCCTGGTAGGCTACAGTCCATGGGGTCGCAAAGAATCGGACACGACTGAGCGACTTCACTTTCACTTTCTTTCACTTAAGGCTATTGACGTACATGACAATCAATCAAGTGGTAAGCATAGTGTGGATTCCATGAACACTTGGAACATATGATGAAAAATAGCTATAGCCAACTACAGTTGTTCAATCTCAGCTTTTATCAGCCTTTTAATGGGACTCAGTATGCCTCTGGGCTTGTCAGGTTGGCATGGTTAAACCCAAGAAGGGGTATGTGCCCACATGTCCAGACACAGCCTCTTCTCTCCATTTCTGTCCCCTTCTGCCCTTCGTCTTTGCTCCTGGGATGCTTGTTGAGTTATTCCTGAGTGGGGTGGTTGGCAGAGAGAGGATAGATGGAGGGGGGCAGCAGATACAGGGAGCGGAGACTTGTTCTTGCTTCGGATGAGACCACGTCATGCCCTCATTCGGCTGGCAGCCTCTTATGACCCTTCAGCTCTACCATTTCCCGCCTCCCCTTCCTCCTCCGACCAGTTCACTTCCTCCTTCCTGCCTGTTCACTCAATGCCAGCCCAGGTATGCCCTACTGCACCTTTCAAGGTACTATACTGTAAGATTTAAAATGTTTGCTTTAACTACATCACCTTTCTTGTGGCTTGCTTTTTTCTTTCTACTGTTTTCATTCTTATTCTTCTGCAACGACCTTTTTGATTTCAACTTTTGAATATAGATGATTTGTTTTTTTAAAGAATAAAGTCTCAAATTTTAAGACAGTTTATTTTTTGTGTTTGTTTGTTTTTATGTATTATATGTGTGAAAAGTATTGTACACCTATTACAGTGCAGTATCATATAGCTGATTGTGTTACCTGGGTACTTAGGGTAACTTTGTTGGACTTACAAACAAATTGGACTTAACAAACATGCTCTTGGAGCAGAACTTTTTCGTATGTCAGGGACTTACTGTACCTACAAATGGTTGAAGATGCATCTTGCTTGGAGCACTCTTACAAGTGTTGGCTGTTTGGGGAACCTCAGTGCCTTTGGTAAAGAGTGGGAGATGCACCATGGGATGGGATGGAGGGTGGGTCTGGGAGAATGACAGAGACATGAGAAGCATTGCCAAGCCACCAGTTCGCAGCAGCTAAGGATGAGAATCTGCTTGGCAGCTGGTATAACCTCATTCTATTGAGGTCCTGAGACACAGGACCCCAAGATCCCTGGAGGACAGTCAACGGGTCCCTTGGAACCTCCACTTCTCTCTGCCTTTGCCAGGCCTGTCCTCCAAAGGATTCATTTTCAAAACGATTACTTAGTTTGGGCTGGATGTGGTGGAATGGTTTAAGGTGAGTCCCTGGGAAAAGGAGCCGTGGAAGTGGCCTAACAGGGAAAATAAACCCGAAGCCAGTCAGGCATGAGTGACACTTCCCCATTTCATCAGGGTCTAGTGATACACGGGGTTCCCTGGTGGCTCAGCTGGTAAAGAATCCGCTTGCAATGCGGGAGACCTGGTTCAATCTCTGGGTTGGGAAGATGCCCTGGAGCAGGGCACGGCAACCCACTCCAGTATTCTTGCCTGGAGAATCCCAACGGACAGAGGAGCCTGGCAGGCTATAGTCCATGGGGTCGCAAAGAGTCAGAGATGACTGAATGACTAATCACAGCCCAGCACAATGATGTAGGAGATTTGCTATTGTCACTGAAGTTGCAGGAACACAATTTAAAATTAATGTTGGGGTTCTTGCTTCTAACAGAGTTACAGCCACAGCACATGTTTTTTGGTTGGCATTTGAATGCACCATATTTGTGGGAAAGTGTTTTGGCTTTTGATCTTTTCCAGATTTAATGAGTCCTTTAATGGCAACACACTCCAGTACTCTTGCCTGGAAAATCCCCTGAACTGAGAAGCCTGGTAGGCTACAGTCCATGGGGTCGCAAAGAATCGGACACGACTGAGCGACTTCACTTTCACTTTCTTTCACTTAAGGCTATTGACGTACATGACAATCAATCAAGTGGTAAGCATAGTGTGGATTCCATGAACACTTGGAACATATGATGAAAAATAGCTATAGCCAACTACAGTTGTTCAATCTCAGCTTTTATCAGCCTTTTAATGGGACTCAGTATGCCTCTGGGCTTGTCAGGTTGGCATGGTTAAACCCAAGAAGGGGTATGTGCCCACATGTCCAGACACAGCCTCTTCTCTCCATTTCTGTCCCCTTCTGCCCTTCGTCTTTGCTCCTGGGATGCCTGTTGAGTTATTCCTGAGTGGGGTGGTTGGCAGAGAGAGGATAGATGGAGGGGGGCAGCAGATACAGGGAGCGGAGACTTGTTCTTGCTTCGGATGAGACCACGTCATGCCCTTATTCGGCTGGCAGCCTCTCACTCCAGCAAAAGCTGTGTGGGTCCTGCAGAGCCCACGAGAGCTGATGTAACTCATGGGCTGCCTTGGCTCAGTGCCACCGCCAAGCA